CAGCACCCAGGACCCTCCCGGGACCCCAAAGTGGGTCTGGGGGGTGGGGGGAGCACCCAGGACCCTTCCCAGGACCCCCAAATGGGTCTGGGGGCTCCTGGGGGTCCTGGAGAGTGTCCAGGACCCTCCTGGGACCCCAAAGTGGGTCTGGGGGGTGCGGGGAGCATCCAGGACCCTTCCCAGGACCCCAAAGTGGGTCTGGGGGGTGGGGGGAGTGTCCAGGACCCTTCCCAGGACCCCAAAGTGGGTCTGGGGGCTCCTGGGGAGCAGGGGGAGCATCCTGGACCCTCGTGGGACCCTCTCAGGACCCCAAAGTGGGCATTGGGGGGTCTTGGGGGGCAGGGGCAGCACCCAGGACCCTCCCGGGACCCCAAAGTGGGTCTGGGGGCTCCTGGGGGTTCTGGAAAGTGTCCAGGACCCTTCCCAGGACCCCAAAATGGGTCTGGGGGGGCTCCTGGGGGGTAGGGGGAGCGACCAGGACCCTCCTGGGACCCCAAAATGGGTCTGGGGGGGCTCCTGGGGGGCAGGGGGAGCACCCAGGACCCTCCCAGGACCCTGAAGTGGGTCTGGGGGCTCCTGGGGGTCCTGGAGAGTGTCCAGGACCCTCCTGGGACTCCAAAGTGGGTCTGGGGGGTGGGGGGAGCATCCAGGACCCTCCCAGGACCCCAAAGTGGGTCTGGGGGGCTCCTGGGGGGTGGGGGCAGCACCCAGGACCCTCCCGGGACCCCAAAGTGGGTCTGGGGGCTCCTGGGGAGCAGGGGGAGCATCCTGGACCCTCGTGGGACCCTCTCAGGACCCCAAAGTGGGCACTGGGGGGTCTTGGGGGGGCAGGGGCAGCACCCAGGACCCTCCCGGGACCCCAAAGTGGGTCTGGGGGCTCCTGGGGGTCCTGGAGAGTGTCCAGGACCCTCCTGGGACTCCAAAGTGGGTCTGGGGGGTGCGGGGAGCGTCCAGGACCCTTCCCAGGACCCCCAAATGGGTCTGGGGGGCTCCTGGGGGGTGGGGGCAGCACCCAGGACCCTCCCAGGACCCCCGGGGTGTCCCTGGAGGTGGCGGGCGGGGGTCTCGGGGTGTCCCCGGCGCTGACCCCTCCCCGGCAGGTCCCGGCGGACGAGGTGTGCGGCTGCCCGCTGGTGCGCGACGTCTTCGAGCTCACCGGCGACTTCTGCCGCGTCCCCAAGCGCAAGTGCCACCGCCACTACTGCTGGGAGAAGCTGCGGCGCGCCGAGGTGGACCTGGAGCGCGTCCGCGTGGTGCGTGACGCCAACGGCGCCGCGACGCGGCCGGGACGGGACGGGACGGGGCAAAATGGGCCGGAATGGGATGGAACGGGATGGAATGGGATAGAATGGGATAGAATGGGATAAAATGGGATGGAACGGGATGGAATGGGATGGAATGGGATAGAATGGGATAGAATGGGATAGAATGGGCCGGAATGGGATGGAATGGGATGGAATGGGATAGAATGGGAAAAAATGGGATGGAATGGGATGGAATGGGATGGGATGGAATGGAATGGAATGGGATGGGATGGGATGGGATGGAATGGGATGGGATGGAATGGAATGGAATGGGATGGGATGGAATGGAATGGAATGGGATGGGATGGAATGGAATGGAATGGGATGGGATGGAATGGAATGGAATGGGATGGGATGGAATGGAATGGAATGGGATGGGATGGAATGGGATGGAATGGGATAGAATGGGATAAAATGGGATGGAATGGGATAGAATGGGATGGGATGGAATGGAATGGGATGGAATGGGATGGAATGGGATGGAATGGGATGGAATGGGATGGGATTGGATGGGATGGGATAGAATGGGATGGAATGGGATAGAATGGGATAGAATGGGATGGAATGGGATAGAATGGGAAAAAATGGGATGGAATGGGATAGAATGGGATAGAATGGGTCACAAGTGGGACAGAATGGGATAGAACGGGATGGAATGGGATAGAATGGGATAGAATGGGTCACAAATGGGACAGAATGGGATAGAACGGGATGGAATGGGATAGAATGGGATAAAATGGGATAAAATGGGATGGAATGGGATAAAATGGGATAGAACGGGATAGAATGGGATAGAATGGGATGGAATGGGATAGAACGGGATAAAATGGGATAGAATGGGATAAAATGGGATGGAACGGGATAGAATGGGTCACGAATGGGCCAAAATGGGTCAAAATGGGCTAAAATGGGCCAAAATGGGCCAAAATGGGTCGCAAATGGCACCGAAACGGCCCCAGAATTGCCCAGGAATGGCCCCAAAATGTTCCCGAAATGTCCCCATGGCCCTGTCGGTGTCACTGTGTCACCGACTGCGCTCCCCAAAAGCGTTCCCGGGTGTCCCCATGTCCCCGGGGGTGTCCCCAGAGGTGTCCCCGGGGTGTCCTCATGTCCCTGCTGATGTCCCCGGGGGTGTCCCTGCTGATGTTCTTCATGATGTCCCTGTGTCCCCCCTGTCCCTGTCCCCCTTGTTCTGTCCCCTGTCTGTCCCTGTCCGTGTGTCCGTCCGTGTGTCCCCTGTCTGTCTGTGTGTCTGTTTGTCCGTGTGTCCGTCCGTGTGTCCGTCCGTGTGTCTGTCTGTGTGTCTGTCTGTGTGTCCCCTGTCTGTCTGTCCGTGTGTCCCTGTCCGTGTGTCCCTGTCTGTGTGTCCGTGTGTCCGTCCGTGTGTCCG